TTCTGAAGGGAAAGGAGGCCAGGCAAGGTAAAATGCTTTCGGCCTTCTTGAAATATGCCTTTGCTGGCACTGTCTGAGAGGCTAGGGAGTCCCTGAAATTCACCAAAGCTGCTTCCACCCTGGTGGCACAGGGCACTGGCCTTGGGGGCTCCTCGCTTACCAGCGCAGGCCAGGGCAGAGCAGTGTGGGGAACAGCATGGCTATGCCCAGCTGACGAATCCTGCTATTGTTGGGACTTCATAAAAATGAGAAATCCCAAAGGTTTTGGATTAACATTGTAAGAAATTTCAACTCAATATGAATGGTACCCAGAAGAGGTGAGTATTGCACTGAATTTGAAGAGCTTCAATTTGGAGCCAGGAGCTGAGAGATAAGAATTTCCTGATTGTGAGTCAGATGGTGGAGCTGGCTGAGAACTGGACCAGACAAGTGGACAGCCACGTACAGCTATTTGCGGCCCATCAGGACATCAGCTACTCCACAGACAACAGGGCAAAGCTGGCCAGAAGACTAGGAACAAGACACTTAATGTAGGCTGAAAAGCTGAATAAGAGGTCACAGAGACAGCACATTGCATCAATGAAATACCAGAGAACACACCTAATAATCATGACCACAAGGATATCACCTCAGGAACACCCAAGAAGCAGAAAGCAAAGTCCTCCAATAAGAAGAAACACTCCAAGGCCAAAGCATAAAGTCTCCCCCACAGACTCTGTCATCCACCAGAAGGAGCAGACATACTGACTGTGCAATCAGGTCTCCTGTGGAGAGATAATAGGCTACGATGATAGTGCTCCATTGAGTGGCTCCACTTCTTGGGGTGTGACATAACCATAAACCAAAGGGCAAGAGGTACTGTCCCAAATGTCAAGAGATAATAAGACAGCAATGGACAAAGCACTGGAGATATCTAAAAAGAGTGAGCCTATAATAGGTAGTTTTGAGAAATTCAATCGATAGTGAAAAGAACAAATCAGAACAGTGTATTTATTACATTGTCACCTTTGTCAAGGTGTAAGATTGTAAAATGATTATTTTTAAAGACTTAGAAAAGGAGTCATTCCTATGATGGGTTTGGTAATGATTCTCCGCCTTTTGTTTTTGTTGCTACATGTGTGACACAAGAAATGGTTTGTGGGTCAGCATTTTAGAAACTATAAGTATAGGTTTGAAGTAAACACTGTAAAAAAATGGCAGAGTAAAAATCTACAGGTAGGGATCAATCATGGTAGAGTGTGCTATGAAGATGCTGCTGCTAAAAATTGGGCCAAATGGGAAATTAGGAGTTGCTTCTTGATTCACCTAAAGAGGCTGGTTACAGTGGCATTCACCAGTGGTCGAAGCTATTGGGGAGGCTGGGACAGCTGGACTGCAACATGGCAAGGGCCCACCAAACCTCTCTCACTCAGTACTTCTTTCTTTCTCTTCTTTTTTTTTCTCAAATAAATTTATAAATGTAGGTATTTATTTGGGCATGTTAATGTTTTTTCAAATAGCTTAGTTATTTAGTGGCCCTAGGATTCTTCATGTGTATGATTTTTTTTTTCCAATTTGCTAGAAGATGCATGTGCTTGTTGGAAAGAATGACAAAGAACAGAGAAGGAAGGAAAGTCAGAAATCACACCCTACGGAAGATGGCCATGCTGCAATACTTATTCTTCCAGTCTCTTCTTAGAATTTTAAGCATACATGCACTGTTGCTGGTGTGATTCTCAAGCCACCAGGTCTGGAAATCACACCATGAAGTGAGCCATGTTGAATCCAGCTGCCTTAAACTCCATGCCATCTGTTTGATCTGAGATCATAATTTTTTAAAGTATTAATAATTGTCTCTCCTTAATATACCCTCTAGCTCCTACTCTGGTATATTTTTAATCTCTGAATTATGAGTCATATTCAGATATAATTTATAAGATTATATATATATATATATATACTCTGCCTTCTGAACTATATTATAGTTTGATAAAAATATTGTTATGGAGTAAATGCACATAAGGAATGAAATTAACCCCTAGAAAAGACATTTATCTCACCTGTAGTGTGCATTTTTTTGTCTCTATGGTATCATGGAACAATGTGATTTCAACTCTTGATTTTTGTTGTTGTTTTTTTCCCTCTAATCTGTAGTATCCGTTTATTAGAGGAGAATTTTGTTGAATTTTTATTATAAAACCAGTACCAGGGACCTCTTTTTAAGTTTACTCAGATTTCCTCATAGTGCACTAAGATCTTGACCAATGAAGTCCATTTAACTTCTAACATATATTTTACTAGCCCTCAACTATAATAAAAATGCCTTTAAAGGAAGATTAGTATTTGAAGCAAATTTAGTGAAAATAATATAGATGAAAATATTTATAAAATAGAAGATAAATTATTCAAAAAATAGTATATTGATTAGTCAATTTTTCACTTGTTCAAGTGTATTAAGCTTTCATCTGTATCCCTATAGTTAAGGGTTTTCAGAAAAAAAACCATACAATGTCTTTAGATACTACTTGGTGGGTTGTTCCTGGGAAACAATGGACCAGTGGGCTTCTGCACTTGACCTGGGCTCCCATCCTGGCCCTGCCCCTTCAGGCTCCATCTCTTAAAGGGGGCTAGTCAATTAATTAATTAATTGATCAAATCCCTGATGATTAAAAGCTTCTTAGCTATCTGAAGAGTAAACTACAAAATTTCACCCAGAGCCTCAGCAGTGAGTCAGGTGAAAGATTATAATTTTGCCTGTTGGTGGTCTAACATCTGAGCTGCAAAGATTAGAATTACCAGTTCCATTTCATGTGTATCTGAGCAGAGCAAAGATAACAAACGGAGACTGTCACAGTAGAAATAACTGACAACTGCCATCTCCTTTCCTGACAGCAGACCTGAACCATGGGGAGGTTGGGAGGGCACGGGAAGACTACTTTCTCACATTGGTGGAGTTGCCGCTGTGAAGGGAAGGGGCTCTGGATCTTTGTGCCCTCCAGGGACAGGTGACATTGAAGTCCAGTTGGCACTTGACCTTGGGGTAGGTTCAGTTACCCTCACCTGCATAGGGAGCTGCTGCCGTGTTTTTCAAAACAACAAAAACCTGTTTGTCTCTCTATTAAGCAGTTGTTAAATGTGTGTTTCTGATGAAAGTGCATGAAAATGTCTTTAGAAATTGAAATGTGATATGTGGTAAATGAACTTAACCATGATTAGGATCTATTGAACAATCTCTGTCTCTGTATATAAATCATCTTACACATTTTTTCTTTTTTTTTTTTTTTTTTGAGAGTTGTTTTTGCTATAGGACACGTGCGCTCACCAGAAAGAAAGAGACAGACAGAGAGACAGAAAGTAAGAAATCACCCCTCAGGGAGGATGGTCTCGCCGCAATCCCTTCTCCATTCTCCTTTAGGGATCTTGGACATGCACACACATGCACCTGGCATGAGTCTAAGTCACCGGGTCTGGGACGCAAATATATATGTATCTTAGTAGTACATGCATTCTGAACTGAAATAAAATCTCTCCGATATTACTACATGAACCTTACTGACTATGCTTATGTCTCTATGTAGAACAGGTTTTCTGATAAACCTGGATGGAAACACTCAACCTAACAGTGGTGAGTGAATTTATTCTCCTGGGAATCACAGACCGCCCAGAACTGCAGGCTCCATTATTTGGACTGTTCCTCATCATCTATGTGATCTCACTATTGGGCAACTTGGGCATGATCATCCTCACCAAGGTGGACTCCAGGCTGAAAACCCCCATGTACTATTTCCTCCGACACCTGGCTCTTACAGATCTTGGTTATTCCACAGCTGTGGGACCGAAGATGTTAGTAAATTTTGTGGTGGAACAAAATACCATCTCCTATTATTTGTGTGCCACACAGCTAGCATTTTTTCTCGTGTTCATTGTTTGTGAACTTTTCATTCTGTCAGCGATGTCATACGACCGCTACGTGGCCATCTGTAACCCTCTGCTCTACACTGTCATCATGTCACAAAGGGTGTGTCTGGTGCTGGTAGCAATCCCCTATCTCTACAGTACATTTGTTTCACTCCTAGTCACCGTCAAGATTTTCACTTCACCTTTCTGTGGCTGCAATGTTGTCAGTTATTTCTACTGTGACAGTCTCCCTTTGTTATCTTTGCTCTGCTCAGAAACACATGAAATTGAACTGATAATTCTAATCTTTGCAGCTTTGGATTTGATTTCATCTCTTGTGATAGTCCTTGTGTCTTACCTGCTCATTCTCCTAGCCATTCTCAGGATGAAGTCCTCTGAGGGCAGACGGAAGGCTTTCTCTACCTGTGGATCCCACCTGACCATGGTCACAGTGTTCTATGGGACTTTGATATTTATGTATGTGCAGCCCAAGTCCAGTCATTCCTTTGACATTGACAAAGTGGCTTCTCTATTTTACACCTTGGTCATCCCCATGTTGAATCCTTTGATCTACAGTTTGAGGAACAAAGATGTAAAATATGCCCTACAGAAGACACTGAGTAACTTATGCAACATTTTTTCTTCAAAGTTGAGTACAATATAATTTGTATATATTAATGTATGCATGTTACTCTGATCTGTATGCTTCTGGGGGAATTACAAGTACAACTATTTTGACATATATTTACATATTATAAGACCTATACCAGGGTTTCTAAAATTGCTTTACATAAAATAATGAACAAAGGAGTACAAATCTTTGCTTCCCATGAGGATAGATAGATTTTATAAACAATAAATCACTGTTATAGAACAGTCAAATGTCCCAAATGAATATAAATAATAAATAAATAAATGAAGCCAGTAAAGTGAGCATGCTGAGTAGAGTGAGGGAATAGTGGTAATTACAGAATGAAGTGGTAAGGGCTCTTGTACTTTAATAAACCCTGGAATAAAACTTTTAGTGTTTATGTGTTTATCTGTATGACTATATAAACTCCTTCTTTTTCTGTTTCATCCTTCACCTTACTGCTCATATATTTTGGAATTACATTCAATATGTCAATAGTTGTTTGCATGATATATAAGAATTCGAGTTCTTGTAAATGTGCTCAAGTAAAAACAATCCCAAACATTGTGAACCAGGTCTTTCCTCATCGGTACCTCTGTTTCCACTTGTGAATCTGTTAACTGCACATATTTCATAGCTCAATAATCCATAGATTCTGATTGGTCCCCGATTTTGTGCCAGTCAACCCCTGTGGTTGACACTACACAATGTATCAAATTATTGCTGAAATTATTGAAGCCATTCAGAGAAGCTTTCAGGCTTCTGTCCCCAACCCCACCCCACCCCACCCCAACCCCGCTCATTGTTCTTCTTCTCACTTAATGACTACTTTTTCAGTTTCATCAATTGTTGTTTACTTATTTAGCTGACATAAAGTAATAACCTATGTTCTAGTTGTCTTTTATCTTTCCTTTGAGTAAGAGGACCATTCAAAAATATTTTTTCCTCTTTTTCACAGGGTTAACGTGTCTCAATATTGATCAATATTAATGACTCATCATATTTTCATTCACATGCATTGCTTGACAGCTTCAGTTAATTATTGTACTACTGATGAGAAAATAAAAAGACCACATGGACCATGCTGACCTGTGTGTCTACTCTATCTTTCTCCCATGTCCTTTGGCAGCTGTAGACCTTTCCTATTGCAAGGAAGGTGGTCTGATAGATGAGCAATAATGTAATTTGGTTACTTTTATTATTTTTAATGCCTATAAGTTTTCATTAAAGGTAGTGAGACCAGAAATATTTCCTTAGTTTGTCATCATGAAATAAAATTTCATGTGCATCCTGTGCAAATGTAAGTTGAATGAATCTGTTTTATTAGAATATGATTAAAAGCTGCACAGTGCATTGTCATATGAAGACAAATATTATCATACTGTTGATGCAGATAAATGCATCTTAAAATGTTCACAGAAACTACTACTACATAATAATCTCATACTTACTGTCTACATTATGATAGGAATTCTTCATGTGTCTATTAATTTAGTCAATGAAATACTTCTGTGAAATAAGTTCTAGTAAAAACTTTATTTTTCAGGTAGGAAACTAGAGACTGAGATAAATGAATTAATTCTTGGAATTCACCAAGTTATCAGGTATTAAAAGCAAGCTTTAAAGTCTAGTGATACAGCTCCAAAGTTCCTGATCTTAAGAATTACTGGGACCAGCAGTTGGCGTAATGGCTATGTCACTGGACTCCCATGTAGTCAACCGTGGTTCGAATTCCCAACCCTTGGCTTAAACTCACACCAGGCATGTGTGCATGCATGCCCAAGATACCAAGATGAGAATGGAGGAGAAGGGATTGCGGTGTGGCCATGCCCCCCTGGTGTGGTGATTTCTCATTTTCTGTCTCTCTCTGTCTTTCTGGCAAGTGCGCTCACCCTATAGTAAAACAAAACAAAACAAAACAAAACAAAACAAAAACTCTCAAAAGAATTACTACATAGTCTTTTTAATGTAATTTTTAATTTTTATTTTAAAGTTTATTACTGATGTATTATAATTTTACCTATTTGCAGGATAAAATGTGATTTTTTAAAAATAACTCTTATGTATTTATCTATTTCTTCGTTGTGTTTTTCAAGCCTCCAGGTTGACCATGTGGGAATCCAGCACCTTATCTACTGCACCACATGTTGGTCCCCTAAGATGATTTTTTCACAAGAACATAGTGTGTAATGATGAAAATGTGGCGATTTATGTATCCATAATCTCAAACTTTTGTTCTCATTTTTGCATTGGAAACATTTAAAATTCCCTTTTTAATTACTCTCAGATATGTAGTAAATTTTCGCTAATTATATTCATCCTGCTGGATTTCATAACACAATAAATTGCTTCTGTTCTGTACTTATAATTGTGTTTCTGTTAAGTGACTTCACTCTATTTCCCGACCTCCTTATCTTATTGAGTATCTTATAATCATTCTTTAACTTTCTACTTCTATTGGACAGTTTTTCATCACTATTCACAATAGTCCAGATATGGGTTCAATCCACCTAAGTGTCAATTGGAAGATGGATGAAGATATACACACACACATACACACACACACACACACACACACACACACACACACATGAAATACTATACAGACACTAAAATAATTAAATCCTATCATTTGAAGTTAAGTGGGGAAATCTGGACGACACTATGTTAAGTGAAATAAATTGGACGCAGAAAGTGAAATACATTTTTTACAGTATTAGACCCTCCTCTCTTCTCTTACCTGAGATTTTTTGACAAAAAAATCTATACATACCATTAGATTTTATTAAATTTTAGAATTGTTGCCAACTGCCAAAGATGACTTCAGTATCCAACTGCTCTAAATTGTACACACAGATCTCGCAAGGGCTCCCAGAAGTTTTTCATCATGGCTGTTTAGGCTAAAGATGTTATTCCACTAAATTAGAGCTCCATTCTGCATTTTATCTAATAGAGGAATTTAAAATTCATTTACTCTTATTGAAAAAGGCATATCTGGGACCAGCAGATGTAATAATGGTTACATCACTAGACTCCCACATAGTTACCATGGTTCAAGTCCCAGATCCAGTGACTTAAACCTCACGAAGAGTGCGTGTGTGTTCATGCCCAAAATACTGACAGGAGAATAAAAGGGAAGGCGTGGCCATCCCCTATGGGATGATTTCTTGCTTTCTGTCTCTGTCTTTTTCTCTGGTGAGTGCCGATACCCTATAGCAAATATCTTTCTTTAAATAAAAAGAGTAAAAGAAAAAGTCAAGCCTGTAAAATTCCAGGTTTTTACTGGAGAACTGAATATATTAGACAAAGAATCAAAGAGATTAGGCTAAATAAGCTTCTCCTTCTCTCTCTCTCTCTCTCTCTCTCTCTCTCTCTCTCTCTCTCTCTCGTTTTATATTTTTGCCATGTGGTGCATGCTCTCACTGGAGCGACATAGACAGAGAAAGTGAGAATTCACCACCAGCGTGCAATGGCCATCCCACAATCCCTTCTCCTCCATTTTTCTCTCAGTATTTTTAGCATGCATGCACATTCACCCAGCATGATATTCTAGCCACTGAATCTGGAATTCGAATGCAGTGTTGACCCTGTGGGATCCAGTTGTCTTAACCTTCATTTCCCATGCTGGCCCTAGCTTCCTGTATCAATCAGAGCAGTTTCACTTTGTTTTATTGACTTCAGGTGAATTTTAATAAATGACAAAGCAGTGCTTATCACTGTAATGGTGGAAAATCACAATATGATGTTCTATAAATACTGCAATGTAAATTACATCGATAAGGAGACAGTTATTATTATGAAATAAAAAACTATTAAATAGGGACCAGCAGTTAGCGTAATGGCTATGTTGCTGGACTTCCAGGTAGTCAACTGCGGTTCGAGTCCAGGACACAGTGGCTTAAACTCACACCAGGCACGTGTGTGTGCGTGCCCAAGATCCTGAGAGGAGAATGAAGGAGAAGGAATTGCGGTGTAGCCATCCCCCCTGGGGGATGATTTCTCGATTTCTATCTCTCTGTCTCTCTCTGTCTGTCTGGCGAGTGCACATGCCCTAAAACCTCTTAAACAAAAAAGATTAAATAACTGTCTAAATGCTTTAGAGACCCTATCATCTCCACAATGCTACATAAGAGAAAATGAATCACTTACAATTAAATAGGAAAAAATCCATCTATATTGGTAAATAAAACATTTCTTTTCTTTCTTTCTTTCTTTTTTTTTTTTTTTTGAAGTGGTTTTTGCAATAGGGTGTGTGTGTTCGCCAGAAAGACAGAGAGAAATAGAGAAAGAGAGAAAGCGAGAAATCATCCCCCAGGGGGATGGTCACACAACAATTCCTTCTGCTCCATTCTCCTCTCGGGATCTTGGGCACACATGCACATGCGCCCGGCATGAGTTTAATCCAACGGGTCTGAGACTAGAACTGTGATTGACTACATGGGAGTCCAGCAATGCAACCATTATGCCATCTGCTGGTCCCTATTTTATTTTATTTCTGAAGTGCTCATAGTCATTGATTTTGTGAAAAAGAGATAGAGAGAGAGAAAGTGAGACACAGACCCTTTACAATTAGATCTTCACATGTCAGTCACCCATAGACTCCGTCAATTAGGATCATAAGCATGCATGCATGCACCTAGCATACTGAAGGAAACCGCTAGGTGTGATAGAGGCTCTTGAAATGAATGGATAGGAGAATGAGTAGATGCACTAGTTCCCATATAGCCAACCGTGCAATTTGAGTCCGAGACCAAGAGGTTTAAAAAACACATGTTTATGTGCATGCATGCCAAAAATCTTGAGAAGAAAATGGAGAAGGGATTGTGAAGTGGTCATCTTATCTCTTCAGAAAAGATAATACCCCTATTTGCTTTTTAAAATATCTAGAAATAACTGTATTATAAATAACTGTATTGTAAACACAAAACAAAGTTATATCCTGGCAGAAACAACACTAGTCAAAGATGTTGTATGTCAACCTATAATTCTATGTACAAGAATATCCTTGGCCAATTTAAGTATTATCCATTATTACGTAAACTTTCTCTGTGAAGTCATTCTTTCATTTACTTATAGATTGCCTGTGCATTTGAGGGGTTGGATATGCCTAATATTTCACAATATTATAAAACTAAGATATTCATGAAGACTTATTGTTTCCATTGTTTAACAATATTGCATAATTTATGTACTGAGTTAGATTGAAGTATGAAATACTTTTGGTATTTGGCAAATATTTTTATGTGATGGAACATTCAGAAAATAATTAGAAGATATCCAAGACATTCTCCCAAAGGTAATTATGTACAATTTGTTTATCTTCAAAGAGATTACAACTTCAACATAATAAGTCTCAAGTGGGTAGAAAAAGACTTAAATCCATTTGCAACAGTCCAAGATTAGAACAGAAGAAAATCAAAACATAATCTCCATTAAGGTAAGTCAAAGTAGTGGTCTTTGAAATTTCTAAAGACAAATAACTTAAAGCCGGTAATCCCCAAGATTTAATGTGCCCAATGCTCTGCAATACTCTCTGTTCCTCTTTTCAATAATCTTTAATCATCTGTAGAATTTATGATTAAGACATACTCATTATATGGGCCCCAACACTCTGTGTTTTTTATTTATGCCAATTTTAATTTCAAATATCTTACTGTTTAGTTATATATTTTAACAAGAATCTGTCTCTATTATTATTTATTTGCTTCAGTTTCTTTGTCTCTTAAATATTGTGTAATATGAAGTCATTTTTAAAATTTTATTCATGGATTGCATGTGTCTTTGGAGGGGTTACATATACCTAGTATTTACGTGTTATTTTGAAACTAAGATGTTCATGAAGACTTATTTGTGATTTCCACTGCTAAATGGTACTTCTATCTACTTCCTAGAGTATTTATACCACATGAGTTGAAACCTGTAAATTCACTGAAATGTGACTGCTACGAAATGAGTTCCATCTACTTCGTAACAGGGTTGTGTTCTTTTCTCTGCTGGACTTCTTTTCATGAAACTCTATTAAATATTCATGAGTAATTTCTAATGGCCAGATCTCTAATTAATTAATCAATAAAGAGAGATATTATAGCTATAGGGTGCATGTACTCTCTGAAAAGACAGAGAGGGACAGAGACAGAAAGTGAGAAATCACCCCCAACAGGGGGGGATGGCCACACTGCATTCCTTTCCCCTCCATTCTCCTCTCCAGATTTTGAGTAGCGGCCACCTGGGTCCAGCATGAGTTTCAAACTACTGGGTCCAGGTCTTAAACCATGCATGATTACATGGAAATCCAGCAACTTAACTATTACATCACTTGCTGGTCCCTGGCCAGGACCCTTTTGTACAGAAGGGGGAGGTATTAGATGCAATGAGTCAATGGGCAAAACGTACACATGTGTGAAATATCACATTTCCCTACCCGAGCAGCATTTTCAGGGAATTCACTCTGGCCTGGAACCCTGAAATGTCTTTTTATAATTCATTAAATAGCTGATTCCTTCTGGTTTTTTTTTCACCTCCATTCTCCTCCACATGTACCCAGTGTTAGTTTTAAGTCACTGGGTCTTAGATTCAAACCACAGTCGACTACGTTGGAGTCCAGTGTCATAACCATTATGCCATCTGCTGGTTCCTTGTCTAGCAATTTTATTGGACTAAACCTGTAAAGTTTTCCTGCCTACTTTTTGTTGCTACTGAAGTCTCCATTGGTTAGCTTAATGGTCACTTAATGATTAAATAGAGATATCTTTAAATATCTTAAAACAGTAAGTATACAACCCGGAACATGCACATGTCCTAGAATCCCAGAAATAAAAAATAAATAAATAAAATAATTTAATACATTCTGTCACTGTACATATTACAGCTTATAGAATGAATTTTCCCAGCATGAATACACTGTATATCAGTCCAAGTAAAGACATCATCATGCACATTACCATCAGTAGATGATTTTCTATTTTTGTGTCCCGTAAATTCTTTATTTTTTAAAAGTTAAGAAAATTGTAAAAACATATTAATATATGACTATTAATTTAAAAAAAACTTTTCTTGTTTCTAAATTAGTAGGTTTCAATACAAATGTCACTTTCTTAGAAATATCTTTCCTTGAGACCAGCAGTTAGCGTAATGGCTATGTCGCTGGACTCTCACGTAGTCAACCGTGGTTTGAGTCCTGGACCTGGTGGCTTAAACTCATGCTGGGCGCGTGTGCATGCGTGCCCAAGATCCTGAAAGGAAAATGGAGGAGAAGGGATTGCGACGTGGCCATCCCCTCTGGGCGGTGATTTCTCACTTTCTATCTCTCTGTCTGTCTGGCGAATGCACTCACCGTATAGCAAAAAACCCTAAAAAAAAAGAAATATCTTTCCTTAATAACTCATGCGAAATTATGTACCCAGTTTATCCTAACGTATCTTTTTGCCTATTCATTTATTTAGGCATTGTACTTTGCAATTATCTTTTCATTTATTTCTGTAACTAATTTTTACTTCTTCTTTGACATTGAAACAACATTTCCATTAGGTGAAGGAAAATAACGTATCTGAAGTTTGAACATTGCCTGAAACAGATTAGAAAAAATAAATATGTGGTAAATAAATAAAAAAGATAATTCAAAGAAACCAAAAGCAGAATGGTGTTTGATATCAGAAATAAACTGATATCAGATAGTCAACAATGTTAGGACTTCTTTTGGTGTTATTTCTCTGATTCTTTTTACATTGCTACTTCATTCTGTATTTCTGACTCTGAAAAAGTAACTATAATACCTTTCTGTTCTCTCCTTTTAGAAAGAGATAAAATGTCAACACTTATAGGCTTTCATAATAGAAATACGTATGACGACACAGTCTTGAGTCATAGGAACTTAACCTGCAAATATTTCAGTAAGGGACCATGACAACACCTCAGCCAGGTATCCACCACTGAGCTAGCAATTGTGACAGCACAGATATGGACTCTAATTGGCTTGGATAATTTCAGATAATCATTCTTATGAAATAGCTCTTGAAAAATATTTAGCCATAGTAAAATGGCTTGCCAATTTTATGCCAAATATATGCAATGTAATTTTCATAGATACTATTAAATAAGAATGTTATTTTTATTACATTAACCCAAAATATCAAAAAGGTCAAGGAGATGATTAAAATGATTGTGTAAAGAAGAAGAAAGGACTATCTGGGGTGATATCAACATTTTTTTTTAACCAGTAATACTAACATGTATGTGTACATTTTGTGACAATTCACTGAACTTTACACTTCTGATATATGTGTGTTTCCTATATGTCTTATACATTGGCAAATAATCTAAAAATGTTAAATATCAGACATAGATATATTTTGTAAATTTAAACAATAGTAAATCTGTATTTTATAAATTAAAAATAGTGTTTAAAAGGAAAAATGTAGGACCCAGCAGGGTGTAGTGATTACGTTGTTGTACTCCCTCATGGTTGACACAAGGCAAATTCTGGACTTGTTGGCTTGAAAATCACACCAGGCGCATGTGCATTCCTG